TGTGCAATAGGCATCATAAAAATAGTCTTATCAATATACAATACATTAAGTTCGCCGAAGTTATTTTTTGAACAAACATCTGAGGATTTATAATTGAATACTGTAGATGCGAAGGGTAAGCTTTATTTACAAAGAAATCACGAAAGAAGATCATTTTTTACTGTATATATATATAAATGTTTAAAATGAAATAAATATCCTCCAAACCGAAACAGATCACGCTATAGCATCTCAGTTAATTTTGGTTTATAAATGACTCAACTAAAGGCACACACATAAAATTGAGTTCTTAAATTTGAACGATAGAAATACTTGTTTCTAAAAGTATCAGTTTTCGAATATTCAACCGCCCCCCAAAAAAAAAAATAGAGTTTATGTTCAGTAAACTGCTATACACCAATACTTCTAACAAAATAGCAAGAATCAATATGACATTGTTTCAATCAATTGACTTTTACAAGAAAGGGAAAAAAGTATCTTTAAATACAGCAAAGCCTTAAATTCACACAGAAAAGCTAAATACAAAAGCTATGATTTTAGTAAATATACTTAATATTTAACTTGTTTATTTTGGCAATAAAACAAGAAAAATATGTGAAAAGGGGGGAGGGAAACCTACGTACATAAACAACAAAGTTATTATACCTGGTACCTACAGGGAAAAAAATTCTCTTTTCTAAGAAAAGAATTACGACAAAAGCGAAATTTTGAAATTATTTTACGAACTTACACTTTTTCCCCATCTTCTTACAGCCTCTTTTCTTTACGGATTTTTAACTTTTAACCAAACGATTCAAGTGCAAACAAGAACATAATCCAAGATAAATATTGCCTCGCAGCAAAACCAGAATGGCAAAAAAATTATTTAAAAAAAAACCCGTCTTTGTTCTTTTTTCTTCTCATCCCCTTTTTTTGTATGCAGCCTCGAAACTTGAGTAATATTACAGGTGTCAAAAAAGTGAGTAGAAAATTTTTAGAACGAAGTGCTTTAGTGCCGGAAGCAAAGGGTAGAAATACAACCGCTTTAAATATAAGAAAGAAATGTGGTGGTATATATATATAAGAAAAAAAATACCCATTGCAATCTCAGTGAAGAAATAAAGACCAGGCTTTTATGGGCGATTATTTACACGCTGAGAGCATATTTAAAAACAAATGTTCTTTCAAAAAATGTAAAAGGGGGCAAAAAGGAATTTCTAAATATTTTCGAGAATAAATATAATTTTTAAGTTTTAGATAGCACACACATTATACACAACCCTTACTACAGGAATATTTATAAAAATACCAATACTTTTTATGGAAATAAGGCTGCATACTAAAAAGACTTCTTAATTAGCATTTTCCTAGGAAAAAACGCAATAAACAGTTCTTTGATTTTTTTCCGTTACAAAAGCAGTTTTTATTATTCGATATATGTAAATTTGGCAAATCAAATTATTGTTTGCAATTCTGAATTTTTTTTCCCTTTTAAAATTTGCGGAGAAAAAAGATTTAACTCTTTGAGTTATATTTAAAAAAAACTTAAAAAGCTTTGGTTAAAGTAAAAGCTCATAACAACAACGATTATTTTCAAAAATTTAAATATGTACAATAATTTTGAGGAACTTTTTTTAACGACACTGCAAGGCTTACGTAATGATTAAGCTATTTCCTAAAAAGCATAACATATTTCATAGCTCAGTAAATATCCCCCCCAGAAATGTTGAATATCTCACATTTCTAACGTAATTTGAATAAAATGAAAATTTGAAATTTTAGGGTAACATTTTCATTTCATTATATATTTTATAGAAATGTTGCCGATAGAATCTAGGTTCTGCTTCTATAAATTGTAAATTTTATAAAAAGTTTAAAAGCTTGAAGAATAAATACTCTTATAAACTATACATGTAACATATATATGTCACGTGTGAAAGGTGTTTATTTGCATTCTGCAAGACAGTATAGCCATTGTACAACTCAACTCACTCTACGGGCGGGAGTTGTTGCTTTATTTTGAATAATAAATGGTAACTGCAAAACCGATATAAGTTCTGTAGGTCAAATTTATTATTATCTGTGAATTACACAGACCAAGCTGTTGGAAATACTAACGAAATTTTGTTTTCAGAAAGTGGTTTAATGATTTACAGCAAAATATATAAGTGTAATAAAATAAATATAATCACAATGAATTGTCCTATATATAACTAAAAGAGGAAAAATTATGGAATCGAAAACCAAGAACAACACTAACCAATATATATGAAGTCAATTGACCAAAATGGAAAACGATTATGTTTTTTAGGGCTGTCACCGACTTAGGGTAGTGAAGTAGGGCTAAGCTTGCTTTATGGGATCCCACCTTCTCCTTCAGCAGAAAATTTACACATAACAGTGTAAAACATATTGTAGAAATAAACCAAGATTGAAAAAAAGATTTAAGCCTAACTATATATATATATATATATATATATATATATATATATATATTGCACGTGTGACCTTACATTAATCTATAAAACAATTAAGCTAAAAAGGTTAACTATTGTAGAAATGATCACAGTTTCAAAAGATACGTTCATATACAAAGTTTTCAAATGAGTTACGACTTGTTATACATTTATATCACATTATTTGTACCGAAGACTGAATGGATAGTGTTATAGATATCTTTAAAACGACATTAATTCGAATCTCTACAAATGAGAGAAATAGTTTTCTAATTAGAGTTCTAATAGTTTTACAATATGAGTTTTTATTTTTCAATTAGGTATCTACAAAACATGGTACGTGTGAAAATGCTTCGACAATGCTACAATACAAGAATCATTTACTGAAATTAAAAGCAAATCATTCGAAAAATAATGCTACAAATTTATTTTAAAAATATATAAATTAATGAAACTAATATATTTAAAAAGTAAATACGATTTCCACTTATTTTTATCATTTTGAGCATATAATTTGATAGCATAAAAAAACTATAAGCAAGCTCTATGAAAAAATTTTATTAACCAGTATCTACATGGAAGATATAGTATATTATATATATATATATATATATATATATATTTGAAAAGATGTTTAAGATTTTTTTACTTGAATCTCAATTCACATACCAAAATCACAGAATATTTTATTCTATAAATGGATGTGAAACTTCCACTAAAAACTGCAGTCCAAGCAATAAATCGGTTGCCACAAATCGCCACCAAAATCTATAAAGACACGCTATGATACTGAATAGAAAGATATAAATTTCAGATGACATTTTTAGAGGGAAAAAAATAGCGATATTATCCGATAGGCCACAGGCCGTTGTCGCCTGTAAGAATAGAGCTGCAGCCGCCGGCAAGCTGTGTGAAAAACACCCGACGACAAATTGTCAACCGATCACAGATACTGCATAAGTAGATAAGGTTCTGTGCCATTTCCTGGGCTTTGACTGGGAACTAAGGGTGTTTTAAAAGTGATTTTTCCCTCCCCCCTCCCTCTATGTTTGTAGCTTCAAGGTGGGGGTTGTGCCTAGGGTTTTGTTGAGATTAATGGGATGAAATCTTGCGGAATATAAGATTTTTTTTTCTCCTTTTATTTTTTCAGAAGGATCGTTGCCTTCGATTTTCGAAGTTAGTTGATAGCTTTTTTTTGTTTGTTTCTTTTTTATATCTCCCCCCTTCTTTTCCCAGCGGAATGTGATGAAGATTTTGAAGAATGACGTCAAGTGTTGATAGTATTATACAGTTCGTCTTTTTCTTCCGACTGCGGGCGTTTCTAGATTATAGTCTACGCGTTAAATTGCACAGTTTTTATGTCAGATAGTCCGTTTTTGTGGATATCAAGCGACGACCTCTAGGTTTTTTTTGCGTTGGAGATTGAAACTAGACTGATTACCCGACATTCTCTGTTGTATCGATGGAATAGCCCTTATGCGTTAGATTTAGTTTAATTTTATAACATATTATGGAGTGTTAAAAAGTACAGATTTCAATTCACTCTTCCGCTACTACTTTTTCAATTCCTACAAATTAGTTCACTATCTCCCTATATCAGGGGTGGCTAACCTTTTTGGATCAACGTGCCATTTTTTCTTTAAGAAATGTTTAGTGATGTATAGTCGTGCCGTCAAATAATTTTGACTTGTGATTATTGAGAAAATAATAAAAAAAAAACTAAATATTAACAACTCAAAACTCTTTATTTACAACGAAAAAATACATTTTGCACTGTATAGTAGTAAATGTTTTATTTATACGTGTAATTAAAATTAAAGTAACATTAGTGTAAATTCTGTTGTGGCAGATTATAAGACAAATAATCTGTATTAAGATTGAAGATGTTACTTTGAGCAGAATGCAAGTTGAATTGGAGTCATCTGCTAAACGGTTTCTAAATGAGTCTTCAATTCTATTTATCTCTGAAAATAATCACTCGCAGGCATATGTAGATGAAAATATGATTAAAATAGCATGATACACACAGTTTCTTCATACAGCTAAATGTATCTGAAATCGAATCCCTGCTTCCAAAATTTCATTACTCATTTTTACTTACATTGCTTTCTAATATTTCTATTTTAATCAATTCCAACTTTCTCCTTTTTTTCAACAAATTTTTGAATCCATATTGAACTAGACTGGAAATCAATCTGTTGCAATTCAAATTTTTAAATTTACAACTAATTGAATCGGGACGAATTCGGTTTATTAAATGAAGTCACCTCAGAGTACTTCATTGAAAAGCGTTGAGCGTTTCCGATAATTCTTTGAACTGAGAAAATCTCGATGAAACCTGCGACCGATCTCACTCGCCTTTGTTCGTAATACTTCATATTGAACTTTGTTATTTTGAATTAAAATGCAAACCGTTTTAAACGGTGACGTGCCCAAAATATTGTGTCGCGTGGCATCAATGGCACAGCTTTTTCAGATATTAATTCTATTTAATTAATGAATAAATATTAACAAACAAAAATAATAGTCCAACACTATATATAAAAATGAAAAATCGCTCGTTGTGTCCCTGTAGCGCAATGGGTAGCGCGTTGGTGTAGCTTGTTTTGAGTGGGCCTTGTATCAAAAATTCCTTCAAGGGCCCTTTTTTAGACAGGAGAACCCTGTTGGACTATAGTTACACATATTGAGGCCCCTGCAGCTTGGGGGACGCGTATCATTGATAAGGCTGATACGGCGGTAGCTACACACACACACACACACACGCACGCACACGCACGCGCACGCGCACACACACACACACTCCTGCTTCTAATCAAAGGTTGTGGGTTCGAATCCCACCTGGGATGGCCTAATTTCTGAAAATGTGATTTCTTTTTTACCACAATGTTTTATTAGAACAATTACATTTAATCAATGAATAAATAGTAAACAAACAAAAATAGACAAATACCCTATATAGAAAGGAAAATTGCTAGAAAAATCGCTTTCTATTTTGTCACTTAATATGGTGATTCTGTCATATGTATATACATATTTATATTAATAGTAACTATTTAATAAAAAGGAACCGAAATAAAAAATTTTTTCGTTGACCCAAGTAGTAAATTGATTTAATTTTTTTTATACTACTTGTACAATTTTAATCATTTCATTGCAGTATCTCTTTTTTTTTTCTAACTTTTACTTCCCCAATGTACAAATTATACAACTATTTATACTCATTGCTCAAACTATAAAACTGTAATTTACACGTATATTACGTAGTTCATTTTTTTAAAAAAAATATTATTGTAAGCAGGGGAAAAATAAATTTCAAGCCTTCGTCTCCGCATTTTAATTTGTACAATTTAGTATCTCTTCAAAAGTAATGTTCCAAATCACCTTTTCCTCTAACTTTCACTGAATTATGATTCCATCTTTACTTCTGTATCTTGACAGAGACACATACAATTGTCCGTAAGTAATTGTTTTCTTTGATGTTAAAATTAAAATTCATAACTTGAGAGTCGTTTTCACTATTCGGATAAATTTGTAACCATAATATTGAACAGGATTTACAACCTTTTTATTATCATTCTCGTGTGTGAGATAAATTTATTACATCATCACGAAAACCTTTTTAACGTACCTTATATCGTATATACATGAAAGGAGATTAGTTTTTCAAACTTTAGCTTCGTAAATTCCTCAATCTACTTACATATTTCTAACGATAATTTACTAAAACCAAAAGGGGAAATAGTATATATCTACTTATTTATTTCTCTAATTTATAACTGTGAACAATGATAGTTAATATTATCGAGACAAAACTACAACATTTTTTTCTTACAGATGTTGCGATTATATCACACACATAAAACTTCTAACCGATCAAATAATTATACTCTAAGCAACGCAAAATATGTTTTCAATTTCGTAATAAATAATTTTTTCAATACAGTCATAAACTAAACTAAATTCAGAGGTGCAACAGCCCATGAAGGCCAAGGCTTACTGTGCCAATCTCAGTTTCGTGATCTTAGGCGCTGAGGTGCATGTGCACATGTTCCGGTCAGGTGGTCAGTTTGACGCTAAACTCCCAGTGTTTAGCTCTCAAACAATCTTGGCACTCATTTATCGACCCACTGAAAGGATTAGTCAATCCCTGAGTCAACCTTGCTAAGCTCGGGATTATTTTAAATTATAGTTTTTGTAATTTTGTAACTCAATAGATATAATTTAATGATTGAACATTGAATATATCTTAAATGTAGAAAAACCTTAGTGCTTTATTAAACTTAAACTTTCTTTCATATTACCTTAATATACTACGTGGCCGCGGTCATGGTCGAGAACTCGTGACAGGCACTGTTTCTGTCGAATCGTGGGTTCGAGTACTGTTGCCCTTCCGGAGTCGCAGTGATGAAGGGCTGATGTACATTAAATTCGTCGGAGCTAAAAATCCTCACGTTGGCATGATGTGTAAGTTTGGAGAATTTGATACCAGCTCAGTTCATTCCTCATTATTAGACTGAGGCTCAAAATGCAAAGGTATGTCGCCAACAGCCCTCATGTATCTTCAAAATTCAATATTAATAAAGAATCAGTCCATTCCTGCTTTAATTTTGAAAAGTTTAGCTATTTTCTTATTAATTATTTTTGTTTTTAAGACATTAAAAAATATTTATTAGTCAGTATTCAGGGAAAATAAGTATATTTAAAGTAACACTTTTTCCTTTTTTATTTCCGTTGCAGTCCCTTTTTTGTTAATAATCTGAGTTTTGCATTTTAACAAGTAAAAATTTTTTAAGGCATATCAGACTCACTGGCACACACGAAGGTGGGGGTAGGGTCATCAGGTCACCCCTCCCACCATAGCCTTTGATTTTTTATTGATAATAATCCTATGTAAAACAGGACGTAAAATTTAATTAAATATTTTTTATTAAAATTTATTTTACTAATCAATGCTGCTTATTAATTCAATAATTTATTTTGTACTGTTTTTTTTTTGTTCCCGAAATTGACAAAATCAAAATAATACGTCTGGCGGCGTATTGAGGTATGATACAATAGTGGACTTTCGACCCCGGGCATAGATTCGAATACGGTATATGCTATTTTCTAAATGCTGAAAGTTATATTTTATTTATAAAATTTCAAAAATTAATATTCGAGAAATATTTCTTGGTACTTTCTCTCAAACACACACCCTTCCTAAATCCCAAAAATTAAAAAAAAATCTCTTTTTCATCCGGTATATCGTACGTTTAATAAAACTTATTTTCATCAATAAATTTTCGACCATTCCTCTCTATCCTAAGAAAGCCTCATATCAGATCAACGCCAGGATAAGTTGTTTTGACAAGTGTCACTCAAACTTGCGAACCAATGAGCACGTTGCGAGTTGCGTTCCCTAGATATCAATCATTGAGATCGCCAGATATGTGTTTACCGACTTGTTAGAGCGTGTTACCCGCTGAAATGGAAGTAATAAGTGATAATTGCTATATTGGATTAAATGAAAGGTGGGAGTTGGGTCAAGCCAATCTTTGCAATACCTATGAATGAAGGGGAGATGGTATGAAAAGCCTTGTGGCTGAAATGAAGGTATTTTCCTTTTGTTGGAAATGAAATTGGGTGATATAATTTTGCTCTGCTTTGAATGTTTTAAAATATACTTCACGTTTTTATTTTGGTTTTGAGTTGTAAGTGTTATATTTCAGTTCGATAAAATATTATCATATCACAGAAGTTTTTTAACTTACGCCTGAATGAATATTTTCAAACTTTTTTAAGGTGTATTTAAAAGAGTGGTAAAATTTGAGCGTTAAAATTTATTTAGAATTTTCCAGAAATCTTTGTGTGATATTACAATAATACATTTATTCAAAAAAATCGAAATTGGAAAAACGTATTTTTTAAAGAAATCCTTTTGGATTTTGTGAAAATAAAATAAAATAAGTTCAGATAAAGAACTGAAGTGAATTGTTTTGATAGTTGCAATTTTTGTTTAGTTGCTGCTTTGTTTGTGTTTTTGAATAGTTGAAATTTTTTTATTTCATAATAAAATTAGCAAATAAATCAAATCAATTATGTTGTTTACTGATTGATATAACTTCTAAAAACATTACACTTTTTAGCAGTTCCTAACTTTTTTATATCAGTACTTAAGGAGACATAAGTCTTAAAAACAATATTTTTCGTTTAAAGGTCCGTAAAATTATTTCTTACGTTCTTACCTCACATACAAAATTTGTTTTAAAATATTGATAATGTTTTGAGCTAAAATTTTGTTTTTACTGTTTATCCAATGTACATTTAAACTGCTTCATACCATGGAAAATTTACAAAAAAAATTAGGAAATTCCTAAATAAATAAAGTTTTTATAAAATCGTAATAGTGATATATTTTAAATAAAGAGACAGTTCAACTAGATAGAGAAAAAAAATTAATAGACTTTAAAATTGTACTTTATTAGAAAAAATTCCCATATATTTATTTCGTTATAATATTTTTGAATAAATGATTCAAACTACTTCACCTTTGGTGTTGTTCAAATATATTCTAAACAAAAGGTAAGACAAGAGAGAGGGATAGTATGAGAGTTTGAGAGTAGAATTTACGAAGTTTGTATGGTGCGTGGGATAGTTCAGTTTTAGTAATTGTAAAATAAAGTTATTTGATGAGAAAGGTATGGAATCAATTTGATACTGGTAGTGATATCATCAGCACATACTAAAAATGGAATTTTAAACTACCGTGGTTTTAGAATAGAATTTGAATGACAAGAAAAAACCCAAATAAGAACTATTTTTTTAAAAAAAAAATTGTTGAGAGAGAAATAAAATTTTATGAAAACGAAAGACAAAAAAATGTATAATAAAACCTTTCACGTTAATCAACACAAAAATGACATAACGGAAAAATAACCTGATTTGAATAATGTTTGTTGCTAATGGTTGATTAATGGTTTACAATATTTTTTCAATTGAATAATTAAAGTGTTTGTTTTTTTGAGATCCTCTTCATTTAAAACTTATTTAATAAGGTTTTTAAAAGCACTTCAACCTTTTAAATCATATTCAATTTTAATTTTCTTAAATTATTAAAAACAATCTATCTCAAACAATCAAAGCAATTTCAGAATGTATTTTTAAAATGGGTATTCTAACTTTGGTTAAAATTATATGGTTAAAACAATTTGTTCACAAATTCAATTTCACTAAAATCATCGCAATATATCTAACATAATTAAAGCTGAGGCGATTTCGTTTCATTAATAACCAAAATGGCAGAAGCATTACAAGTTTAACAGGAAACAGTTTAAATAATTAATTTTATTTCATTATTATAAAAAATACGAACGAAAAAAACTACTAATTCTAATTCACAAAACGTTACGTTTAAAACAATGCAAATTGATAAAAACAATAAATTAAGAAAAGAGAAAATTCATTTAAATAGAAAATATAAACTCTATAGCAAATATATTAAATAAACATAAAAATAATTTTTTCACAAATTTCTATGAAATAAAAGAGCATGCAATTACACTTTTAAAGTTTTAAAATTGTCTAAAAGAGCGAACTACTTAATAAGTCTATTTAAAATAAGATCTATACCATAACTAAAATATCAAAAATACAAAAAACAGCAGAAATATAAAACAGCTTAATTTCATTAAATTAAAGGGACACAGTTGGCAAAAATCTGTCAAAAATGCAAATAAAATTTTTATCCTGTATAAATTATTCTTTTTGTAATTTTTTTATAATCTCAAAATATTTGAAGGGCTCTAAATTTAAAAAAAAGAATCCAGAGTTATATGATAACTTTAATGTTCGTTTTTATTCACATTTT